GAGGCGGGGGTTGGGGGGGCGGGCACCGAACTCCCAAAGCAGGTGGCCCTCCGCAGCCAATCAAAACGCGCCGTCCGTGAGAGCGCCGCCCAATCGGCGGCCGGCAGGAGCCGGCTCTATTGTGCGCGCGCTCCGCGGGGTTCCCCCGCTCGCTAACGTTCGCTTCCTGGAGCGCCGAGGCCCGCCCGCCCCCTTCGCTGAGCGCCCCGCCCACGGAGCGCTGCTGAAGATTGGACAAGCCGAGGGAGTGACACGGGTATAACCCAATGGGCGAGTACTTTTTCTGGGCTGCCTGTGAGGCGAGCCAATCAGAGAGCGCGTCGCCGGCCCGGGAACGTCGGGAGCCAGGGGCCGCCGGCTGTGGGGGCCGCTGCCACGTCTGCGGAGCCGCTGCTGCGGGGAGGCTCGTAGGCGCGGGATGGCGGCCCAGCGGCCGTGAGGTGGGCGCCGGTGGAGGGGGGGGAACCCTGGCTGTGAGGCCGCGATGGGGCTGGCGCTGCGGGCCGCTCTGCTGGTGTCAGCGCTGGGCTGGGCGGGCGCGGCGCTGATCCCCGCGGCGGAGGTGAAGGTGGAGGTGCTGCAGAAGCCGTTCATCTGCCACAGGAGGACCAAGTGGGGGGACATGCTGCTGGTTCACTACGAGGGGTACCTGGAGAGGGACGGCTCCATGTTTCACTCCACGTAAGTAGTTGGCCCCGGGCGGCTAGCCTTCGAGCGGGCTGGTGGGTGAGGTTGCGCCGGGAAAATAATAATAAAAATATACCTTTATATGTGTTTTAACGTGGGTGATCTCTTCTGGCGGTGCGTTCCCCTCACGGCGGCCCGCAGTCCCTTTGCGAAATAGCCCGGTGAGGAGTGTTCTGTTGGGGGAGGGGGGATTTCTGTTCTATTTGCACAATTTCCCTCCTCTCATCCAAAAGGCACCGAACTGGCGTTTGCCCCTGTGCAAGGAAACGGGAGCGATGCATGCGTGCTCATACATTGCGCTACGTTTTAGTTGTTATTGAATTAAAGTAGCTTAAAGAGCTGCACAGACTTGTCAGTGGGACCCTTTCCGCCGCCACCGATTTCAGAAAGTTTGGTTTGCCTTTATACTTTGACAGTTTAGGGAGCGCTGGCTGACAATGCTGTTGAAGGTGAACAGTCAAGCCAGCGTCAAGCTTATCTCCTTTTCCTATATCAGATCGAGGCTATAAAATAATTCTTATTTAGCTTTTGTTTTCTGGATGGTCTGTAGAAAGTAGACCCGTGTGGCATTTGTTGAAAGATGGGGATGTTAAGCATCCTCTTCTGCGACTTAGACCCAGGTTTTGGTATATGATTTCAGCAGTTTCATAAGTCTTCTGCTGTGCACGAATTTCTGCCTGGTTTCTAAAGCAAACTTCTAGGGGACGAGTCTGTAACTTAAAAAAAACCCTGAAGTTATATCTGTCTTTCCGCTACTGGCAGCACAACGACAGCTTTTCATCACTGAAACGGCATATTCTTCACCTGCCCCTGACCAGACAAATTAACATACCAGACCCACAGTTATGCAAGTAGGGGGAAAAGCCAAAAATTCGAGGGAGTCTGCTAACAGCCTGCAACGACTCGTTAATGTTGCCTTTCCTGTAAAACATCAACGAAGTGTTAATAGTGGGAGACAGCAGAATGCTCAAGTATCTGTCGGCTATGTCTGAAGTCTACTTTTGTAGAATGTATTAAGGAAAAAACCCAATGTTTTGCATGTTTATGCTCTTGCAGACAATTTAAACTAAAGTCTCACTAATTTTCTCTTTTAGTTACCCTGCCTCTCTAAAAGGAGTTCTAGTGGCACTCTAAGTTTTTGCTGCTGACTAACTTCTGTAAGTCCTCTATTTTCTTGTTAAGCACCTCTCCTGCATGACTAGTAAATACAGCTTCTAAAATTCTGTGTCTGTCAGTAGAGTGAAAGTAGCCCTGAAATACCACCCGGTTAAGTTGTAAAACAGTCTTGTCTGCCTACTTTAAACTTGAATGTTTTGCATGCATTTGTTTCTGTTTTTCTGGACTGTGTAGTTGGTTTTTTCCTCCTGACTTTCTTTGGAAGAGCTGTGGCTGATTCTTGTAAGGATGTTATAAGGTATATTGCAATCATGACCAAACTGGTTTTTGATTTGCAATTTACCAAAGAATATGAATGGCCTTGAATGTAGATTTTTAAATAGAAGCGACTTTCCAGTCTGATCAATTTCAAAGTGGAAGGAAGTGATCAGAGAAGTGAAGGTGGGGATCCTGGTTGCTTGGTGTTGTCATAAACACACTATGTATATATTTTATTTCTTTCTACTTTTTAAGGAACCTTGTCATGCAAGGCATAAGTTTTAAAGACTTTGAAAGTCTAGGTCTTCATTTAAGAAATGCCAAGGTGTCAAATAGTGATGTGTTTTTAATTATATATCTATGCTGTGATATTCCGTCTGTTTCACTTGCCTTTTGTGGAACTTACAATCTGAAAACTTAAGTGTTTTATTCTATTTTTTTTCCAGTCACAAGCATAACAATGGTCAACCTATGTGGTTTACACTTGGCATAAGGGAAGCTATCAAAGGCTGGGACAAAGGTTTGAAAGACATGTGTGTGGGGGAGAAGCGGAAGCTAACTATTCCACCAGCCCTTGCTTATGGAAAAGAAGGGAAAGGTAAAGCACCTGAAGTCCTTCCCTTACTTTAATTGTTTCTAATTTCTGTATTTTTCTGTTATTCTTGGCCTAAGAGTTTAGCAAACGTTCAAGGTTTCCAGGCTGATTACATTCAATAAGAAAAAATGGAGTCAGGTGCTCTTTCTCATAAATTTGTTTTCTGTGGAAATAACCATTAAGTGATTACATGATGAATGCAGGAAAAAAGCAGGAATTGATGGTAGCTGCTGTGTGTTATGTCCTGAGTGTCTTTTCTGTTAGTGCTGCATTCAACGGTGCCCCACTTTTTTACTTTTATTTTTATTTTTCTTGCTTTCCTCACCCCCTTATTTTTACAGTCAAGCTGGAAGTGGTTGCTTAGGTAACAGTTGGCTTTTTGGCTGTTGCAGCTTTGTTTGTGGTAATACTTCATAAAAATGTGCATGTGCAAGCTTCGTTCTTGCTTGCAGTTGTGGTTTTTTTAGAACCCTAAGAAACTCCCTGTACTGCTGCCCAACTAATTTTTAGCTGATACAGTGAAAAGTCACCATTTATTTCTCCATCTAGGGACACTTTCTTTTAGCTATTTTCAGTTTGGGCAGTAGTCCCTGTTATCCACAAGAAGATACACAGGTACATGGGCAATCACATTGGCATCTACTGAAAACGGATCGAATGGCATGCAGACAATAAAATCATTGTTTGTAGTGTGTTCTCAACCTGTCTGCTACTGAGGGTGTTTGGGGTTTTTCCTTTCCAACACTTCCAGATTCCTATTTTAATGGGAGGACCAGATTGGGAATCTGGAGTTTCAAGTGACAGCTTGAATGATGTAGGAAGGCTACTTTTTCTGTTCTATGGGGTTTGTTTTAGTTTTTTGGAGCAATTATTAGGAGTATCTTGTCATGACAACAGTTATCACGAATGACCTAAGGTAATGCAAGGATTCAAGGCAGAAAGGATAAATCCCTTGGAAGGTATAATCCTTCCTGCGACTGTCCTCTCCCATTAATCTGAGACTGTTTTAGGAGTGAGGAGTGTTTTGCATGTCTGTGTCTTCTGGCAAGTAGGGCTGAACATAAGCAAAGTAGTACTCCATATTACTCCATGCTAAGTAGTATGCCATAGCGTACTGCATACCTTCCTTTCTTGAGACTATTATTTAAAAACATATTTTTCTAGAAGCCTTGGTTCGGGGTTCAAGGGATAGTATTAGAAGTAATCATGTTTCTAGTACAGAACAGGAAACTTGTGATAGTCAGTTGATTGTATGCAGGGCACAACTGTAATTTTTTTCACAAAAAGATATTAAATGCTGCAGAGCCCACGTAGTCATCACAGGCCTCATTGGCTTGATTAATATGTAAAGCACTACAGTTGTTCTTACAGACTTGCAAGCCTCATCTCTGTGTTTAATGCTAGAAGGCTGAACAAGTAAACGCTACTAAGTCCTATAAGAAATTACTCACTTTAGGAAAACTTTGAAGTATTTGAATATAATTATGTTGCTATTTTCAAATTATGCCTTTGAAGACAGAATTATTCAATTTTCTTTATGCTTTCCTCTGAATGCATGCAATTTCACTAGCATCCCACCTTGCTTGCTGTCTGACTTGAATGATGAGTCACATGCCTTTTTCTGTAATGCTCAGAAAAATTACCTGTACTCCAAACTCTAAGCAGGCCACCATGCCCTCTATTTCCAGGAGCTTCTGCACACTTATTCTTCCCAGAAATACTCAAACCTGTTTGTTGCTGCAGCTAAGGGTGTATTTAACACCGTATCTTCCAAATAGCATCCCACAAAACTCCTTGCATCTAAAGTTGCATATGTGCTGTAAGGGCTGCTTGGGATCCAGGCTACAGTCTGAAATAGTTATCACCGTTACAGATACTTATCTTTGTTAGTTCAAACTGCCGGATGCTCTGAAAGCAGTAGGGTTACTGGAACACTGCTCTGATGTGTATGGCTTTTGTATGGCACTCAATATGCAGTTGTTTTATAACTCATCTCCGTGTTTACCATTTTGGACAGGAAAAATTCCACCTGAGAGCACACTGATTTTCAACATTGACCTTCTAGAAATTAGGAATGGACCAAGGTCTCATGAATCCTTCCAAGAGATGGATCTTAATGATGACTGGAAACTGTCCAAGCAAGAGGTGAGTGGGTTACCATTCTTGTCTAACAGGATGGGATAGTGGAAAGTGAAAGATAAGCTTAACTTGATCCTCTTAGGAAGTATCAAAACACAAGTTATATTTTAGCTGCTACTGTGCACAGAGCAACTCTGCAAGCAGAATGCCCACTAGTATAACTTAATGTGGGGAAGCGTGAGTCTCTGTTCTTCCCTGGAGATGACTCTCAATGTTGCTGCCTTCCAATTCTCTACTTTTTTTTGCCTTTGGACTTTTATGCCTTTTCATGTTGCTATCTTTCCTGCTGAATGCTCTTGAACTACTATTCTTGGATTAACAATTAAGCTACCATCTCTGTGCTTTGCCTTTCTTGCTTGTCTTCAGCTCATATACTGTCATACACCTTGTTTTCAGTCTTTTGCTTTTCTGATGGGCAAAAGTCGTACATGAGAACTTAGGGTAAGCCACTGAGTTCATTTTGTTTTGGGGCTGATACAGTTTGCTAGACCCAAAAGACTAATCATTTGTACTAATCAGACTGTGTCGCTGTGCTCAATGCCCATGTATTAGAAATTTAAGCAATGACCCAAACAAATATCAGAATGTGAAATGAATAAAACAGACCTGAAACATGGCCCATTTATATTGTGTTAACAGCCCATTGTGACAGTTCTTGTTACACAAGTGGTATCTGTTTAACAGGTGGGTATGTTGATACTGATATTCTTACAGAAGGCTCTGCAATTAAGAAAACTTGGGATCTCAGTAGTCAAACTCAGTAAAAATAATCTGATGTTGTTCAAAACACTGCTCACTATTAGTAACTAACAGTGTAAATAACTGTTCCAGTAGTCTGTTTAAAAACTACATTAAGTTATCTTTGTCCTGAAAAACTTTGGGATGTTTAGAAGTATATCTTTATTAATGTAGTTCCCATTAGAGTGGCAAACGCTGAGATTGTGGACAGAGTCTCTATATATTTCAGGTGACAAAAACAGTAGATGTAAATAGCCAAAGTGCTAGGATGTATGTGAACAAGCTGTTTGGGTCTCTGATCAATTGGTAGCTAATAACTTCTGCCTAGTTATTCATACTTTACTGTATAGATATCAGATGACAGGTTTTCCAGGCTCATATTTTGGTCAGATACCATAAAGGTATGTCAACTGATTTGCTAGGTTTACTGTCAGGCAAGTATTATTCTGGCACTGGCGTAGGAAGGAGGGTATCTTTTGTCTAATACTATCACGCTGAACGGAGTGGCCCTCTCTTACACTACAGTAATCAATTCTTTCATAAGCCAAAAAACATTGACTTTCAGCTTTTTGTTTTATAGGTGAAAATTTACTTGAAGAAAGAATTTGAAAAGCATGGAGCAGTGGTAAATGACACCCAGCACGATGCTTTGGTTGAAGACATCTTTGATAAAGAAGATGAAGACAGTGATGGGTTTATATCTGCAAGGGAATTTACATACAAGCATGATGAGCTGTAGAAAAGGGTGGCATAATTTTTTTGATGCAAATGGCAATGACTTAGACTGTCTGGTTCTCTTGTCATCTTAATTCTGTGTTTTGGAATTGACAGCTGCTGTTGGCAAAGAAACACTCTTTGTTTATATAAAAGAGAATTTCCGTTCATTGTGTACAAAATGTTTTAAACTATTTTAAAGTATGAAAATGTACCTCCTTTTATGCAGCAAAGACTTGCACATCAGTGTTTTTTAAATGTTTGTATTAACTTATTTTTCAGAAATGAAACAAACCTTCGAGTTAACAAACGTTGTGAAAATCAAAATCCAGTTTAGTGCCTTTCTGTGATTTGTTTGTGTGTTAAGATCATGTTCAGCAACTCCTTTATGTATAGCTTCTAGTCTGTGGCTTAATTACTTGACCTTCCTTCTTGTGTGTCATTGCTTGAAAAGCAGAGCGCTGACTTTGCTTTTTTCTTGGTGCAGATTTTTCAAAAGAAGTGCTAGAAGGTATCAGCATCTCTTTATACAGCTGAGAAACTGATACAAAGCTGGATGAGAAGAATGGCTATCCTGTGCTGACTTTGCTCTTCTAAAGGGAGAATGTTACCAACTGTGCCAATAATTGTCTGCATTTTTCTTTAAATTATGTGAACAAAGTAGGAGTTAAATGTCAGACTTTCAGTGTTATGTCAGCAACATTCTAGGAAATGTCTGTAACTTGGAAAATAGCAAGTTATGCTGCAGTGTGGAGGTGGTGTCCATGACACACGCCTGAACACACACACGTTTTGAAACTCAGGACTGAAGTTTTTCCCATTTGCAGAAGGGGAAGAGCACACTGACAGGAGAATCAGTATGGCCTGAAGAGCAATTTGCATTGGCTTGCCTGCTTTACAACTGCATGAGTTGCAGAACTTGTTTCATCATTGCCCATTTGCCATATTTGCACAAGTAGCACAAGTGATGTGAATTTTACACAATAAAGTGACTTTTTAGAAAAAGAGAGGCATGAGGTAAACGTTATGGTGGTGTGTCTTTACAGAGATGGAGACCATAAGGATTTCAGCTCCATTTTGTGTTTGTTTGAACTGTTTCTGGAGAGAAAGAAACATGTTGCATTTTTTTAAATGAGAGGGCAAGGTATCTCAAGGAAAGAATTAGCGTGTGTTCTGGTACCACTGACATGCGTCTCTGAACACAGTATTTTATTTGAAAAATGTTGCTTAAGGCTGTGTGTAGACACAAAGCAAATGCAGTTGTTGGAAACAGAGATTGCTGCATTGCACTAAGCCTTAACTATTGCCAAGTGAGTCTCCACGTTCAAGGTTCTCAACGCTGTAGACAAGCTAGTTGTTTTCCCTGCCACCTAGTGTTGTAAGTAAGTATTAAAAGACTACTTTATTAAACAGAGTTCAGCTATATATGGACATTACAGATTATTGTCAATAGTGACTGTTGCCGGGGGGAGTATAAGTGAAGGTATGCAGTGCTGGGGTGTTTTGTTTTGTTTTTATTCCAGCATTTGGCATTTTGTGGCTGGTGGCCTACATGATACGGAGTTCTGGCCGCATATTCTGTTTTCAGTAACCTTTAGGTCTTCTTCAATGATGCCATCTAGTTTTCTTGAACCCATTTATACTTTTCTTTCCATAATGTTCTATAGCAGTGAGTTTCACAGTAGAGAAGTGAGGAAAATATTTCCCTTTGTTTCTAGGCTTGTTGCTTGTCCTGATTATTGGATTTTGAAGAAATAATGAATAATCATTTCTTATTTAACTTTTTTTACCAGTCATGATTTTGCATATTGTTGGGTTTGGTTTTTTTCCCCTTCAGCACTTATGAAAATTGAGCTTGACTGACTTAAGCTCTCCCAAGGTTGCTTGCATGTTCTGTGCTGTGTGTCTTGATTTCCTCTGCAGTCACAAGAGCACTAGGCATTTGGGGACAACTCATCCCATGTGTGTTGTTCATGTTGTTCGTAGATGCCTTATCAACTAGTTTCCTGTCTTTCCCCATTGACTTCATGAAAAGCCTGGACAATTAGCACAGCCTACACTTAGGAGGGCTAATGGGATATGAAGTTGACCCTTAAGGTGATCTTGCCTGGGATGTGGGAACTGGCAGGTACTCGACCAACCAAGGAGGAAATACTGTGTGTGTGCTGCTGGGAAGAGCAGAACTGAGACTTGTATTGGATCTGATGGGGTTTTGAATGATTGTTTGCAGTGTTTAGCATGTTCCCTGAAAATGTGGCTCAGGAACGAAAGCATAAAAGCATGAAATAAAACTTGGCCCAGATTACTGACCAAATATATGAAAAGTTAAGCTTGAATAACAGGGTGCCAGCATATGCTTTCAGGAAGGTCCAACTGCTGTTTCCTTTGTATTAAATAGGAGTTGGAAGTCAGTGAATGGTGTGAAATGTACAGAGACATTATCTTCTGCTTAGATTTTTTTAAAGCATTTCATAAAAATAACTTTCAGTCAACATGTACTGTAGTTAGTTTGTTAATGCCAGCGCAGTATTAAAGCTGTGGGACTGAGATGCTTTATTTGGTGATGTGTGTAGGTTTATGTCAGATCAGTAGACGTTTTTTGTTCTTAATGCTTTTTTTGCTGCATTAAATTTCTGAAAGTGAACTGAAAAAAAAAATTTTTTCAAAAGTACAGAATCAGCTGTAGCTTTGAGAAGTCACTTCAACTTTTTGCCTACAGTCCTGTGAAGATGAAGGGATTTCTTAGGTAGAAATAGCACTACCTGTCTTAACCTCAGTTGCTTCTGCTTGTTAATCCCCAGGGCGTACTGCTGCAGTGCCAGCAGGAGCCAGCCAGCCACCTGCAGGAGGGCAGAGCAGGCAGCCAAGGGGAGAAGGAATATTGGAACTTCAGTAGCCCTCAGCAGTGTTTGAGCTGGCTTATGTGTGAAACACAAGGTGTGTTTCCCCTGAAGAAACAAAACCTTGCTGCTTGTCTGTAAAATGCAGCACTTGAAAAAAGCAGAGAGGCTTCAAAACAGTGTTCTGAGCACATATTGTATCCTGCCTCCTGCAGCTTATAGCCTTCTTCACATGGTTCTTGTTTTGTGGTAGTATAGGAAAATATGTACTGATGGTTTTTAGAATGGTAGCCTGTTATTCAGAGCCGCTACACAGCAATTACAGTGGGAGTTGGTGCCTTCTGTAGGTACAGAAGCAGCCTTCAGAGCTCATTTTATTTGAAAATTCTTGATATGCAATGCAGTGACACAAGAAAGCTTTTGGCAAAGCTTCAGGAATGCTGCTTGTAGTTTGAAATGTTTTTTAAAGCATTCTTCTTTGAGATCAACTGACAAGGCAAACAGTGTTGAAAATGAAGGAATCACTTCATCGGGTCTTAAATCTTTGCTTTTCAGTACCTTATGTCCTTGTGCTGCCAGCAACATCCCCAGTATAGAGCTGTTCTGGTGAGTGCTGTGTGTGACAGAGCCATAAAACTGCAGCGTTAAGTACATATTGAACAAACTGCTACCATAGTTTCGTCTTCATGACGTTTAGAACGAAAATGATCCACAGTGTCTTTCCTGAGTACTCCAGTGTAAAAATAGGTGGTACAGGTCAGCCTTTCAATTACACTTGTCTTTGTGGTATGTGCTCCCCACACCCCGTCGTTTCTGCTCTATCCCTTGACCCAGAAATGCCTGTTTCAGATGGCAGGTGAGTATCAGCAGGATGGGGAGAGCTCGCTGCTTTGGGGCATTGTGGGGAAAAAGCAAAGCTAGGGGAAATGAGGTGAGAGAGAGTGGAAGTAGGCAGAGCGATGTGAGAAGGGCACAAGATTTTGTTTCCTAGATCCTTTGGTATCTGCTTCCTTGGCAGAAAGAATGTTGGCAGCCACTGATGTAGGTATTGCAAATTATAAGGCTGGTTCCTGATCTGACTTTGACTAGAAATCGCTGCTTCAGCCAGTTTCTATATAGATTTTTACTCTTATGACAAAGTTTAAATTCACACTTCCAAGGTCCATTAAAGAATATTCAAAATGGGTACATTGCATTTGGCTGCTTCTTTAAAATACATCAGCCAAATTATAGAGCTTTTGCAAAAAAATACAAGCATAAAAAACCCCAAACCCACCACCCTAAACCCCTTCATATATCTTCAACACTGAATTGGTTTTGGTAACAGGAAATAAACAAAAACTGCTTATATTTGTATAATCCTGGATAATTTTAGCCTCTCTTGAAAGTTAATCGTAATGCTTACATTCTGTGCCCTAGTTTTCTCCTGGTACGTAGGAAAAACAACTGACAAGGATCTTTCTTTAGCTACCCTGCTTCTGTTTTCATGCTCATGCTTGATTATGTCAACAGATTCACACAAGAAACGTAATTGAAAAGCTCAGTAGGAAACTCTGTATCTGTTCCAGGCACAAGGACCTTCATTATCAGCTTTCCCAGCCTGAAGGGGATTCAGAGGGAGCCTCCTCCTGCATCACTTTTCTTCTTTCTCAGAGGTTCTTTTCCAAAAGCAGGCTGATTTTGCTAGGGGTTGCACCTGGTTGGGAGCTGTGTGGGACTCCTGTCCTCTTGAGTGATGTAAAACAAAGTAGGAGCTTGGTTTAGCTGGGAAATTTGCCACGAAGACAGAGGATAGTTTGAAACACATCAGGTGAGTAATTTTGTGCAAGGTTTCTGAAGGCCATGTTCCTGATGGAGGGCTGGAGTTTGTCCATGGGGATAGTATTTTTTTATATACATATTTATTTTTTTTTCAGTTCTAACTGCTCTGCATCTCCATTAGATAAACAAGGAGCAAAGCCACTCTTAAAATATTAGGATCTGACTGTGGAAATCTAGTGGAACCAACTCTTCGGAGTTCCCCAAATCACAGTTGGATTTTTAGAGGAAGAACATGAGGCTGATGCTAACTACCATTAAGAGCTGCTCTTCATATTAGATACAATGCTTCTAATTTCTAGTTTGTGTCATGACCTGCTTAAGGAGATTAAATGACGCAGGATAATTGATTCCTCATCTGGGAGTCGGACTGAAAGCATTAAATCAATCCTGTCCTCTTACGTTTTACTGCCATTGAAATGTCTTTAAAGCAGCTGATGTTTCCTCTCCTGCCTCTTTCCCTGGGTAGGGAACTGGGTAATACCTATTTCTTTTGCGTGCAGAGCCTGCTGTCTCTCTGGGAGTAAATAGCACAGCTTAGCTCTGGTCTCTCTAAGCTGCAGGTTTTCAAAGCAAAACATTCTTAGTGACCCCGTGTCCATCTCTGGGTATGGAATCTATATGGCTGTAGTAACGGACTATTTGTAGCTTAAAGAGAATTATGTCCTGCTGGATTTTATTCTTAGTGACTCTGACCACTATACTTAGAGGTAAGACTGGTGATATTCTTTCCTTTCAACAGAAGGTAAGAATTTGCATTTGCATCCAGTATTTCGGCCCTTATGTGCTGCCATATCCTCACTCCTATTGTCACTGTTACTAGTTGGGTTAAAACCTGGGCATAGCGCAGTGACATGGACATCACGACGTAGACTGGCGCTCTGCCTCGGCAAAACTCACTCTGAAGCAAAGATCTGCTCATCTTACAGCTGACACACGAGCACAAACTGCAGTGGGAGCACGTGTGGAGCAGAAGTGGCCAACACTCCTATTCATTTGGTACCAGATCCTGCCACTGTGACCCTCAGCCAAGTCCACCTCCCCATGGCATCCTTTCACAGCTACAACCAGCCATTCGCGCTGTGGTGGGGCTGTCTGAAGGCAGGCTGGTGAGGTGGGCTCTAGCACATCAATTAATCTTGCTTCTTGAGCAGGCAGCTGTGGGAGGGCAGCAGAGGGACATGTCAGTGTCTCTGGACAGACTGGACCAGCACCAGCCAGGCTTCTGTCACACCACTGTCTGGTGTGGGCAGGTTCTCCAAGCGCAGGCTTGGAGAAAACAGCAGGGGTCCTTGCACTGGGGGGAAATAGCAGAGAAAATAGAATAATAGAATATCTCGAGTTGGAAAAGGCCATGAGGATCA